TATCTTTCAGTATGAGAGGTTCATCTTCCAGCTTGCTATCTATCAGTCAATGTCCCGCTATTATTCATAAGATTTCCTCCATCCACTTTTTTTTTATGAAGTAGATCAACAGGTCCTTTTTCCCCAGTCTGTCCTAGCATGAAAGGTATACTGCAATGTGGTCCACAATGAGCGATCTTTTTGGTATTTGAAATACTGGTGACAAGAGTTACAACACTTAACAACCCCAAACCACCTCTGTGCAACAAAATGACAGCTGAGCAGCAGTTCTCCCATGTTTAGGAGGCAAGGAACTCAGCTTCAGGGTGCCAGAATCTGAGGAAGGCTTTCTGTTAGCTGAATTGGAAAGATCTTGTCTTTTTCATCTGCTGTTTCTGGACAATCTTCATGTGGTTTGCCATATCTCTCTCCCCATTTTTGCTTCTTTCCCTGCTTGTTTAAACTCTTTATATCTCTATCTCTATCTATCTATCTATCTATCTATCTATCTATCTATCTATCTATCATCTTTCCCCCCCCCCCCCCATTCAGGAAAATACAAACATCTTTACAAAGAATATGAATCTACTAGAAGTAATATTGGATAAATACTGTGAAATATAGGTCTATTTGTGTGGTTCTTGCCAAATTCTAATTGTAACAAATTTACTCTTTTGTCTTTGGAGGAAATACTGTATATTACAAACTATAATTTAGGATGTTTAAAAGACTAGAATATTTAAAAAGAAATATTAAATGAAGATTTGTAAAAGAGTATCTTGATCTCATAATTGTAGTCAATTCCATTTGAAAGTATTTTAACATAGCAGAGATATTTTAATAAAAATAAAGAACTATCAGTTGTAAAGAGAGAAAAGTTTTAAATAATCCATGTATTATGTATGTCGTGTGCACTAGTCTTGTGTGACATTTTAAGCAATTGTGAATCTTTTCATGAGTCTTTCCAACAATATGCTGTAATCCAAGTTCTCTGGCAGATGGTGAGGAGGGAAAGGATAGCACACAGGAACGTGTTTCCCATCATACAAACCATTGGATCTACAGACAGCCAGATAATTTGCTTCCATAATGGGCCAAAATTGCAAGAAAATAAGTCACTTTCAAACCATTATGTCAAATTATCTTACAAGAACAAAATTACTAACAAAAAAAAAAATAACTAACAGAGAATATGACAGCATGAACGAAGGCCTTTTGTAAAACTTATTGGTGTTGGTGTAGCCTGTGAAGTCAATTCCAATCATATACAGAGTCCATTTTAAACAGTAAAATTGTGCCATATGGTTTCGCAAACGATAATCTTTATGGAAGCAGATTGTCAATATCTTTCTCCTGTGGAGTGAGTTGTGGGTTTGAACCACTAACCTTTAGATTAGCAGCGGAGTGCTTCGTTACTGGTCACCAGGGATCTTAGGAAATGTCTAGATGGTATGTTTGATTTGTTACTGTGCATATTATTACAGCTGGGTCTTCCCAATATGGTCTAATTTCTTTTTTCAATATTTTGGTTTTGCCCTTATTCATCTTTCTCTAAGTTTGTCTAGGTAGGTCATCAACTTCCATTTGATTCTCTAAGTTTCAAAAAATGGTCTTTAAAATCCTAAAAGGTAGTATTATACTAAAAATATTGAGTACTTAAATATTCTTCAATCACAGTTTTATTTGAAGCTTTTCTTTGTTTTATAGGAGAATATTATGCAGTGCAATAAATTTCAACTTTATAAAATATTGTTTAATGTTATTTATGTCCATTTTCACCCACTTAATGACTAAAATTAACTCTGAGAAGAATGGGAATACCAGAACACTTAATCGTGCTAATGCGAAACCTATACTTGGACCAGAAGGCAGTCGTGAGAACAGAGCAAGGGAACACTGCATGGTTCAAAATTGGGAAGGGCGTACGCCCAGGATGCATCCTATCTCCATACCTTTTTAACCTATATGCAGAACAGATCATCTGGGAGGCTGGGCTCTATGAGGAGAAATGTGGGGTCAAGTTTGGTGGGCGAGACGTCGCGACGCCGCGCCGGGTCTCAGCAGCTGCCTCGGAGCCGCCGGACTGAGTGGGCGACTGACCGCGCCAGACCCGCCATGGCCGAGAGCGACTGGGACACGGTGACGGTGCTGCGCAAGAAGGGCCCCACGGCGGCCCAGGCCAAGTCCAAGCAGGCCATCTTGGCTGCTCAGAGAAGAGGCGAAGACGTGGAGACATCCAAGAAATGGGCAGCTGGCCAGAACAAGCAGCACTCTGTCACCAAGAACACTGCCAAGCTTGGACCGGGAGACAGAGAAAGCTGCACCACGACAGGGTGACCCTGGAAGTTGGCAAGGTGATCCAGCAGGGCCGGCAGAGCAAGGGGCTTACACAGAAGGACCTGGCCACGAAAATCAATGAGAAACCGCAAGTGATTGCTGACTACGAGAGTGGGCGGACCATCCCTAACAACCAGGTGCTGGGCAAAATCGAGAGAGCCATTGGTCTCAAACTCCGGGGTAAGGACGTGGGGAAGCCCATTGAGAAGGGGCCAAGGGCGAAATGAACACAAAGCCTCGAAGTCAGTCCCGGCTGATCTCATCCGGTGGCTTCCCAACCCCAGGACTGGCACCAGCCTTGCTGGGGACCCTCATCTTGTACCTGCTGTCAAACAAACTAATTGTGCAAAGTTTCTGGCTCTCCTGCCTGTTCTTCACCCCTGAGCGGTCGCAGTGTTAGCTCGGTGGGCTGGGGGCTGAGGCAATCCCCTTAGGGAGCAGAGGGGGGCTGGTAGGAGGGCCTGCGCAGCTCCTCCTCATGCGCTTCCCCAGGAGCTAATAAAAGCTGTTGTCCTTCCTAAAAAAAAAAAAAAAAAAAAATTGGTGGGCGATTTATCAACAATCTGTGTTATGCAGATGACACAACCCTGCTTGCTAAAACTGAAGAGGACCTGAAGCACCTGCTGCAGAGTGTCAAGGACTGCAGCTTCCAATACGGATTGAGGATCAATGTCAAGAAGACAAAGATTCTCACCACTGGACCAATTGGCAGCATCAGGATGGATGGTGAAGAGATTGAGATTGTACACAGCTTTAGTCTGCTTGGCTCCACAGTCAACACTCTTGGCATCAGTAGCCAGGAAATTAAAAGGTGCAGGAAATTAAAAGGTGTCCTGGATAGGGTTAAACCGGGTGGCTCCTTGGAGGCAAGGATTCTGAGGCTCCGTCTAACTTACTTTGGACATGTTGTGAGGAGGGGCCTATCCTTGGAGAAGGACATCATGCTTGGGAGGGTGGAGGGACGGCACAGGAGGGGAAGACCTTCTATGAGGTGGATTGATTCAGTGACTGGGATAATTGGGATGGGAGTGTCAGAGACAGTGCGATTGGCACAGCACAGAGCAGAGTTTAGGTCTGTTGTACATAGGGTCGCTATGAGTCGCAAGCAACTTGACGGCACATAACAACAACAACATAATGACTAAATATGAATATTTATGAATAATTTGTTCAAGAAATTATTGCCACTATAAACAAGTACCTTCACATACATTTGCTTAAAAAATAACTAGAAAAAAAGAGTAAAGGAAACCAGTAGATATTTATGATACTATGACTTTAAATAATATTTATAGTACAATGCCTTGTTTTTCTGCGTCACACTTTAAAGTTCAAATTTGGGGGAATAAAGTTGAACTGTTAGTTTTATTGAGGATGTTTAGTTATTGTTAGAGGACAGATGAAGTGTTTATAGTGGCAATAATTTCTTGAACATGAGACGAAATAGTTGTCAATTTCAAACATGACCTCTTCAAAATCCCTCTTTAATATTTGGTGGATATGTCTTGGAGAAAGTGCAACCAGAGTGTTCCTTGAAGATGAATATGACAAACTTTTGTATCACATACTTTGAGCATGTTATTAGGAGAGATTGTTCCTTGGAGAAGGACATCATGTGGAAAGGTAAAGGATCAGTAAAAGAAAGGAAGACCCCCTTAATATGATAGATTGACACAGTGACTGTAGCAATGGGTTCAAGTGGGTCAGAAATGATGAAGATTACACAGGATAGGACAGAATTCAGATCTGTTGTTCAGAGGGTCACCATGAGTCCTATTCAAATCAACAGCACCTACACCAATAATAGTTCAATAAATATGAACATGGAAGGAGAGGGAATAGAGAGATTAATACTAAGGCATCTAGAGACCAGGACAGTAAGGATAGGGGGAAATCATCAAATGAGTAAAAACAGGGAAGCAGATACGTACAGTGATTTGCAAAGATGTCTGAGTGCTTCCCAGTACGTATATCCAATAATTTACACCTGACTCCAAACAAATATAAGGAGGTGCTACCCAGAGTCCATTCATTTTGAGGACCTCCTGTTAATGTTCCATAAACCTTATTATTCTATATATCCCAACCACTCTAATCATTAGGGCCCACCCACCATTGAAAGGTTTCCTGACCTCTCTATTCTATGGAGTCTGAGATCTTCAAGTTCTTATCTTTCCTGGACTCTCCCTCATTAGCTCCAGTTCATGTTCTTCTCACTATGCTTCACACTAGATCTATCTGTGCAATTTTTCCATCTTCTACTGGGAACTCTGCCATGTTGCCTTTCTGTGATCTTCAGATAGAATTGCTGCTGTCATTGTCTCACAATGTCCACTCTGTGCTTGTTTGCTAGCAGGACATTTCTCTTCCGTTTCTCCCCTTTTCACAGCTCACATTCAGTTTTTCCTTCTAATTGGTGGTAATTTTTTTAACTTATCATTTGATGCTGAGGGTTCATCAATATCTGTTTGATTTTGTTACATAGGTCTTTATTATATATTTGTTTAGAGCATGATGCATCTGACTAGTCTGTAATCTTGATTGCTCCTCATTTAATTTTATTTTGCAGTTATTTTACAATTGATACTCACTCTGATATATGTTTCAAACAATTAAGACACTATATACTACAGCTCTTTAAAGGAGAAATCAATGACTCTCCGTAATGGATATGACATTATTAAAACTCTTACATTTTAATAACATGCTTATACGTTCATAAAATAATTTATCATTATTTGTGGATTTTATTGGATGAAAATATTCTAGTTGTCTTTGTGTCTGTAAATACTTAAAATGAATGCAAAGATATGCAGTGCAAATTAAGAAAAAAGAACACATTAAATCATGGTTGTGCTTTTGATAAGTGCCATCAAGTCACCGGTGACTCATATGTACAATAGCTCAGAAACCTGTACTATGCCCAGCCAGTCTGTCTCTGACACACCTACTCATATTACCTCAGTTACTGTGTCAATCTGTCTCATCCAGGGTATTCTTTTCCTGTGATGTCACATAACCCTCCTAAGCATGATCTTCTCCTCCAAGTGTGTAAGACAGAACTTCAAAATCCTTGCTTTCAGGGAGCAATGTGGTTTTACCTTTTCCAGGATAGATTTGTTTGTTCTCTTGGTAGCCCATGGTATACTCAATACTCTTTTCTAGTACCACAGCTCGAAGGTGTCAATTATTGTTCTGTCATCTTTAATCCAATTCTTTGATGCGTAGTAAGTAACTGAGAAGACTCTAGCCTGGATCATGGGCACCTTAATCTCCTGACTGGCATGATTGGGGACATGAACAATTCAATCATTGCTTAACAGCATTTTGTTATTGTTGTTATTGTGTACTGTCACATTGGAACTGACACATAGATAACCCTCCAATGGTTTTTCACAGACTGTAAATCTCATGGGAGGAGATTGTCTATATAGCTCCTGGAGAGGAACTGGTAGATTTGAACAAAGTGCCTTTGGGATTACAGTTCAATATCTTACCATTAGGCCACCAGAGCTCCCTATATATATATTTGACCCTGAAATTCTGCCTCTATAAATATAGTTTATAGATATATTTGAGGTCTATTAGTTGAGAAAGTGATACATTCTTAACCACTAATTGGAAGACTGACAAGATGAATTCACCCTTGGCCATTCCAGAGTAGTAGCTCAAAATCTATTACTCAAAAGAATATCTAATAAGGCATATGACATTTTTTTCCTTGTAACATATGAGATCATAGTTAGTCAAAATCAATTAAATGACAATGGACTTGGACTTTCAAGACATTTTCTACATTTTTTTATTTTATATATTTGAACAGGAAATGTGTAATTGTATTGTTTGTGTGTGTGTGTGTGTCATTTATATTGCTTAAACTCTGCTGGAACTTATGGGTTTATGTCTTTTGCTCATTGCATCTAAATATTTCTCTTCTATTTTCTCTCTTTTTCCCCTCTATGATACAGTCATCTGCATTTCAAATACTCCATATTGTTCCATAGCTAGAGTGTTCTCTTTTGTGTATTTTATGCCTTCTTTTTATAAGGATCTCGTTTAAATATAGAATGTGTTTGATCCAAGCCATGGTATTTTCAATAATTTCTTATGTATGTGAAAGCTTAACAATGAATAAGAAAAAATCAAAAAGAAAGAATGCCTTTGAATTGTGATGTTGATGAAGAGTATTGAATATGCTTGAAGCAATGGTGAAAGGAAGTGGAATCAGGGTACTCATTAGAGGCAATATTGGTGAAAGGTCATCTCACATACACTTTCGTGCTGTTTTAAGGATGAGCCAGTAGTTGAACAAAAGACATTCCAAGAAAGGTAGAGCGTCAGTGAAAGAGAAGAAGATACCCAAATAGATTAATTTGCACTGTAACTAAAACAATGAGCTTGGGCAATGCAGAGATTATGTTGCTCAAACAGGATAGAGCTATGTTTTGATATATTGTTATGAATAATCATTAACTTTCTAGCATCTAGCAATATCACAACAATATTTATGTAGAGCTCTGATAGTATTGTGCATTATGCATTGATCTACATGGCTCCTACCAGCCACTGATTGGGAAGAAGATAGATGATTCCCCCTGTAAAGATCTACAGAGACACAATGGAGGGTCACCATAGGAGTTGTGAGTGTGTGTACACATATGATTACATGCTTAATTTTTTTCTGAATGTATGTTTTGGAAAGTATTCCTACTTGTTACGTTTAAGTCCCAGTTTATATATAAATTGTTTTCATAGTTTTGGTAACATAAAATGTTGCCATCATACATTTCTCTAGGACTCTACTTTGGGTAGATTAGATGGCATCATCCTCTATCACAGTATAGCTGTTAATGTGAATTTCCTACAGATGCAACAGCAGTTGGAGAAATATATAATTTGCTCTTTTGTAGTTATTATTCCTTGGCATTTGTATCCTGATGAATGGTCCAACCAATTTATGAATAGGCAGTTTGCCACTCAGACAGATGGCTCTGACTACAGCCCAGAGACCATGTATAGGCCAAAACTGTGGGTGTTGACAGGATTTTTGGACATAAAAAAACAAATATCTGTCAGTATCTTCTTAAGATGCATCATCACTAATTCACCATTTATTGGATTATGTTCTAATGTAATTTTTAATTTCCATAACAAGTGATTATAAAGAGAAAAATTTTAATGGAAAATTCAGAGTTGCATGTAGTCTTCCAAACAAAAATACAATATC